CGGAGGTCAGAGGGAAAGCTTGTTCGCTTTTATCCTAGACTTTAATTGGGGTACAGTTGTGAAAGAAAGAAAAATAGCGACTCGAATGATTTACAGGCGAACGATACGACTTCGTAATAAATGCGGATCAACCGGTTGGCGCATATTGGATTCAAGTTCGTGCGCTTGGCGAGTGCGGTATCCCGCGTGCTCAACAGCTAGGCGTACTGCGATACGCTCGCGGACCTTACCAACCGTCTACCACCGCACCCACTTACGATTTTGGTCTTCCACAGGGTGTTGTAAGTGCAACTCATTACCGTTTCGATATCTCGATTCGAAAAGGAAAGGACTGCAACTTCGCTCGAAGTATTTCCTTTAACTTAGAAGAATTTTCCTAAAGTATATACATTGCGCAAACCAAATAGGCGCGTTTCTACATCGGCTATCGGAGTTTGCCAATATCTAGAATTAATTTTGTAGGCTGTAGATTCGACGAAAAAAAGCGACTTTTGGAATTCTTAGAGATTGCAGGTTCTCGGAATTTTGAAAATTTCAGAATAATTTCAGAAATTCTTGGAACTTCGAAGCGAAGAGTGCTTCTTAGGAAACTTGAAACGAATGTCGGCCATAGATAACGCAGAGATCGGGGAATTCTCTGTCTTACCAGTAGCGGATAAAGCTACTTCGCTGTTCTTGATCACGAAAGCACCTGCTTTCAGGTGCTGAATCCTCTGGACGCGATCTGCAATCGTCAACGGGACGATGCGATCTGCGTGAGCCAGCTGAAAAATGCCCGCCAAATAGACCAAGGAATTCTTCAACAACGTCCCGACGTGAAAATATTCCTGCCATTCCGTTTCCTCTTCTACAGGCCAGAAGAAGTCTTCCAGCCTCAAACGTATAATCGATTCTTGGGTAAGTGGCGGGGAATGGCCACTTTCGGTTTCTTTCTATCAAATGATAGCTTCTTTGTTCCTTGCCGATCTGTCGCAAGCATCCGTTACAATTGAATCTATTAATTCGTCGGAATTCGCAGCCAGCCGTTTGTCATTTCGCGTTTTACGCTTTCCACAGTCGCCCCGACCGGAGATCATGTAATTTCTCTCGTCGATGAAATCTCGTTCACATTTCCGCCGGCGCCTCCGCTTTCGCAAATCGACGACATCCCGCCCGAACAATTTTGCAACGGAGACAACAGGCCTGCCGACTGCGGCGCTAACTGCATGTGCACCCATCAGGTTGATATCCCGCACAACGCGGTCGTCGAAGTGGTTCTCGTCGACGAAGGTGCGATTTTTCTTGAAAAAATTTCTTTTCGAATACGTAGAAATCATAGAAGAGAAATATGACGAGACGCATTTTTCATTCCGTCAAGATCACGCACTCTTATTCGATTTTGAAATTGAATTATTTTTCCAGACTCTACGGTGTGTCATTATCACTTAAACTTCAAAGTATTTTCGTTACACAAAACAATATAAAGAAGTCAGAAAGTTAAAATTACGATATTTTGATACGCTATAATTGTAAATAAAGTGTTTGTCATATTTTTCTCAGTATTATGCGTACTAGAATTCTACTTCATTAACTGTTCCATCAGAGTATACGAAATCAACTGTGTGAAACAAGGTTTCGATATTACCTGTTTAGAATAACTAAATATCTAGTAATTTTTTAAAAATATAAAGTCCTACAAATAAGGACTCTAACATTATAATATTGTGAATTAAATTTTCAGTCAATTGACAGATATTTTACACATCCGGATGCTTGCAGAAGATAATTCGATCAATTCTTTACAGTGCAACAACCGAATCTGTCGCATCCTTTCCATTTGCACGGCTACGCGTTCAACGTAATCGGTATAGGCCGTTCCCCGGACAAGAACGTGAAGAAGATCAATCTGAAACACGCATTGGATCTCGACAAGAGAGGTCTGCTCAATCGACAGTTCAATCTGCCACCTGCCAAGGACACTATTGCCGTTCCAAACAACGGATACGTCATTTTCCGGTTCCGTGCGGACAATCCTGGTGAGCAAAATCGCTCGATTATTGCAAAGTTGCACGATATTTGAAAAATCGTTTGAAAACGATTCGCGAAGCGAACGTCTCATTGCAATCGTTGAACAACGTTTCAGGATACTGGCTATTCCATTGTCACTTCCTGTTCCACATACTCATCGGAATGAACTTGATTCTGCACGTTGGAACTCACGCGGATCTTCCGCCGGTGCCGCCGAACTTCCCAAGATGCGGGGACCATCTACCGCCGATAACGCCGCCATCGCTGTCGCTGGACTCGTTTCATTGATTCATCCTGAGGGAACTGAGAAATCAGAGGGCGGTCCAAAGCACACGACACGATACATTTCTTAGCGTATTCCTGTAAAGTAGTCGCAGTATGCTGTAGCAAATTGATTTTCGCAGATCTTCCTGTCTCTCGTCGGTGAGCGTTTCACGCGAGAGACGCGAGAACAATGGAGGAAGACAGCGAGCAAGAGAAAGAGAGGAACAAAGTGCGTGAGAGGGAGAGAAAGAACGTGAGAAGAGAACAAAGAAATAATCGTGGCCCTCCGAAAATTGGAGGTTCGCGAATCGATCGACGAGAGAATCAGCGGGAAGAGAGCGTTGTTCGATCCAGACGCAGCAGCTACCGATACCGCTTTCGATGCCGCAATAGCGATCATTCCCGATACAGATGATAACGAGTCCAGTGGTTGGGAAGCCGATATTTATTACGTCCTAGATGATTTTACTCGAATCGGCCACTTTTCGCACGAATCAACACTCTCCTTCGATTGAATGATTTTCACCCCGTGATTCCGCCAGGGATGAAACGTGACGAAGAAAGAAAAACTCGCGAGGACTCGCGAGGTGATTTATTAACACGCGCACGTCGATGGGCAAAAGCATCGCGACAGCCAGCTGTCGCAAAGACTCGCGAAACTAACATTTGTAACTTGTGTAAATAATGTAGAAATAGTCGTGTTACACTTTAACGAGACATTAACGTGGGAGTTGGGGGTAAAACGGCGCGCGCATGGAGGAATCGTTGCGGAGACAATGCGCACAGCGTACGAGACCTTTCACCGTGAGATGGCCGATCAATGATCATTAAAGAAACGCTGTTTAAGGAAACTCGATCTGTTCGATCCGGACGATCGTTGGCCACTTAGCACCGAGCGAAATGGCCCCGATACTCGAGCGACCGAAACGCTTCGCTGGATCGAATCCAGGTTCCTAAAGTGGTCTTTTTTTTTTTTTTTTTTTTTTTAGTTAGGAAGGAAAATTCGTGCTCGTAACTGGGACACGTGGCTTTCGTTCATGTCCCTGTCAGCATTTCAAGTAGTGCAATTAGGATGTATACATACTGGAGAGAAGGTAACCATTAGTCTATTACCTAATATGTGGAGGATTAAGAGAGGCAAGATAAAAAGTAAAAAAAAAAACACAAAAAATATTCGTAGAGGATTAGTGGTCGCGGGTTGTCAAAGAAATTTCCACGGCGTAGCCGCGGTTGTAGAACCAAATACTACTCACCTTTTGCGAAACACACGCGCACCAAGCCGCATCGTCGTTACTTTTCATCTTCTTTTCTTTTTTTCTTTCTTTCTTTCTTTCTTTTTTCTAGAAATCAACGATTTACGATTCTATTCCATTATTTATTTCGCTAAGCGTGAAATTTCGACGTAAACCTCGAACGTTGTTTGACTTCTTTTGCTGCGTGCGAATCGTTTCAATTGGTCAATCGCCTCCTTCAATCAACACTCGATCAATTATATAAATATGTATCTTCTTTAATGATATCTTTAACGAAATCTCGAATGATAATCGATATTTTATTCGTTACGTGAACAATCATTAAACAGACAGATTTCCTGTCGCTGTACGTATGCGTATAATATCTAAGTTTATTCACGATGCTTCCATTTCTTCTTCTATTTTGTTTGTCCTTCTTCTCTTTTTATTCTATCACGAAATTGGTGAATACAATTACTCACAATTACAACTTTTGAGAGCGATCGCGACTCGGTGCTGATTGCATCCTCGCGAGTCGCGCACGACGAACGCACGAGTACATCACGTCACGATGATACTCGACGTTTTCTAGAAAATATTCTTCTATTTCATTTGGTTGAATACACTCGATTCAGGACCATTGAAACACGAAACGCTCGATCGTGGCGATACTTAAATCACCGACCGATTAACGAGGTATACGTCGGTTAGATGGATGTGTATTATACGATGTCGCATTTCAACGATCATAATAGTTTGTTTCGCGGAAGAGAGTGTCCCTAGCGTTGCGCCATCTGACACGGAACCACCGTGATTTATTTCACGTAATTTATGGTGGCGAAGCTCTTGGCTTTTCCGTCAAGGGAGGAGCAGCAACCAGAGATACTCTCCTCGGTATATTGTTGAAGGTGGAGCGTGTACGCTAATCGTTGTTCCGCTATCCGGTATCTTCTTCGCGAGGCCGTGTATTCGTACCGGATAGCTTTGAATTTTCTAGAGCAACATTCTTCAAGGCAAGGATAAATTTCAAGGAACGAGGGACTGTCGTTAGTTTGCGAAAGACGTATCTACCGACACGATATTTTCATATTAAAGCGTGAACAATCGATCATCGTTCTCCAATATTACTTCGCTGCATGTCACTCCTCCTGTTACGAATCCAATTTCTTTTCCCTTTTTTTTATTTATTTATACACTTTCGATCGAAAGATCTATGACGTGCACATACACTTTTATACGAAAATTATTTGATAGAAAGCGTGCTTTGTGTTTGACCAAAATATTAACTGAGAAAATTACAAAGTGGAACGTTTGCATTATCAACTTGTGTGACGAAAATGCCTAAGAGAATCAACAGTTATTGTCCACATGGAGGGATGAGTTTTCGTGGTTTTTGTACAGGTAGTATTTCGCGAGTAATTCGCGTATACTCCGTTATCAGATAATGATGTACATTTAATAATAAATTTGTTTTTAAAAGCTCGACTACTTTCCCACTTTTGACAGTTCCCTATTGCGTTGTTCGCACGAAAGATCCTTTTCGTTCTTTTATCGCTGCGCTACGTAACAAGATGTTGACCTAACTTCCTTTAAAAAAGAAAAAAAAAAGAACGACCGAGAACAACGACCATGCGCGAAACTAGAATACTGTTATCGTTAACGTTAACAAGTTCCGCGTTAAATGAAGTTGCAAAAGTAGCGGTACTTAGACTCGGTCAATTAAGCCAGACGAGAACAGTGCGTTTAACCCGGATGTGTGATCTCTTCCGAACAACTAATAAAAGGAACGTCAAACAAATTTCGTTTCAAAATGAATCAGCTATTTGTTCGATCGAACGTGATACTCAAATATTTTCCACGGCAAGATTTTCGACATTGGTATTCAATTTCATTCGATTTGACACTTTTAGGCTGTCAGATATTTATTTACCCAAATTTGGATGGGAAATTCTACGATATAAAAAATAAAACGCACACAATAAAATATCGAAAATAAAATGTTCAATAAGTAACTAACTCTTTAGTCGGATTTTATACGAGAAATTTGAAGATGCAAAAACGCACATGGCGCGCGTAAAGAATATGAAAGTATATAAATTAACGAAACTTGTTACAATATTTAGTAGTAGCAAAAATGCAGATAACACAGAGAAGTGTATAAAACGTCTAATGTAAAGTACTGAAATTAATTCTTAAATAGAGCCAGAGAAATACGAATCTGTATAAACGTCCGTTTTTATATCCGAAACTTTAGATACGTGTTTTTAAATGCGATTGTGTATTGCAATGGAGCCTCGTCTTCGTACTTCGTATTCCATGAAGTATTTAGTATGACAAAGTATTTAGAATGACGTGCGTGCGTCTTTACGTGACTGGGCGTATTCATGAACAACTGGTATGCAGCACACTCTAACGTCTCGGGGTCACACACTTTTACCAATAATACCATCTTACGAGAACGAAGATTTAATTGCAGAATAACTGAGTCTATAATATTTGAAAACGGTTGATGTTCTCGGTTGAAGGTAGGTAAGTCACGCGAGCCACAGTTTCATTCCAGCGTTCATTCACTCGCGCGTCGATCTAACGTCCGCCTAACGAGGAAATTTATCGTGTTCACACATCCGTTAAATTGGAAACGTTTCTTTCCATGAAAATCTCTTTTTTTTTTTTCGAAATGATTTCCAGGATTTTTTCGCAGAAATTTCGAAGATCGAAAGATACAGGTGTGGTAAATAAACGAGTAGTGTTTTTGTTTTTTTTTCTACAATTTTACTGTATTTGAAAGAGCATATACTTGTAACTCGTTGAACATGGAATGTTTCATTGAGCTGTTACAATAAGAACTCGTGTTATCGCGAATAAACGAAGTGAACTGTCTAGTGTCTGTTTCAACCAATTTCCTAGAATTCGTAGACGTTTCTTTGTACAAAGTGTAAATTTCCTTCTCTGTTTCTTTAGGACAAAGAGGAAGTGATTTCTCGATTTGAATCTTCCTCGTTTCAGCTATTTTTCTAGAATAACATGGGTAATTTTTTTTTTCTGTTTTCTCCTCCTCTATACAAAGAAAAGGGAAATTTTGCTCGCGGCGACAATACGTGCAGTCGGACGGTACGAAAGTCATACAAGCGTATGAAGAGAACGTTTCCACGTGTCGCTAGTCGCGGATGATGATGTTTCGGATTAACGGATTTATGTACAAAAGCATTCGTCTAATTCCAACTTAATCAAAATTACGATAATTACGCAACGTAGTAAAAAAGAAAAACAAAAAAGGATGCTATGTTTATGACTATCATATGATACATATACGATCTAGTTGAAGAACCTTCTCTCTCGTACGGTGATGCTAAAAGTAAAATGAAACGGATCGTCGTACCTCGACGTGACAAATGAAACGTGACATTCCATTGTGAAATCCGGATAGAAATTTCCATTTGATCTTTCTCGAAGTTCCCTGCCTCTTCGAAAGAACGGGAGTACAGCTGTATCGACAGTCGGATATCCGTACAAAAATATTCTTTAATAACAGGAATTACGTACTATACGTGTGTAATATATTAGTAGTAACTATGGAGGATGCATCAAGCTACACATAAAGTCGATCCTTGCCGCGAAGAATTTCGTCCGTTAAGAATACAATCGAGCGTATTGTTGCAAACGTGTCCGTACGCTTTTATTTCGAGTCAAGGACCAACCATTGTGTTATTATCTCGACATCCACGTGGTTCGTCTTTGAACAGCGTGAGCAATGACTCTATCGAATCTAGATACCCGTTACGCGTGGTTGCTTCGTTATAAAAGAGCTTCAATTATGCTCGAGACATTAATCGAAATAACAGTTCGTTTTTTCTCTTGCTTCTCTCCTTTTCTCTTTTTTTCTTTTTTTTTTTTTTTCGTTACGTAAGTTGTCAACGTTGTCGTTATTTTCCAGAATAGTGCGAGCCAATGTTCGACGGCGGCCCTCTGTGATGATGATGATGCTTCTGACCTGGTCCAGAATATCTGCTCCCTGGCCTGGAGTGAACTATCGCGTAGTGATCGCTGTTCGTCGATATCGACCTCGTGGAATTCATCGTCGATCCTCCGGAAGCGTATCCTTGCTTCCCGTTTAACGAGTACCTAAACACAGAGACACTTAGATTCAGTCGAGCGTTCGATCGTTGTTAAAAATAATCTCAATGACGACGCTTCGAACACGCAGACGATTGGTCACTTTGATTACAAAAGAATTAATTATAAAAGGTGACGATATTTTTAAAATGGTAACGTACGCCATCACGTTTCGCGATCGATGCAACGAATGAGAAAATCGATTGAAAACCAAAAGCAATTACATCGTCGTGCATTGAAAACGATCACGCGAGCTGCGTCTCTTCAACGAGCTGGCAATCGATCCGTGGTATTCCGTCGTACCGCTACCGCGTTTCAATCAATTCGAGGCACGCAAATTCCTCCGTATCCTCGTTTTCTAAACATCTCAATTACGCCCCGTAACTAAAAGAGAATAACCCGGCCTCTCGCCTTCGGGGTAATTACAAGTTCCACGGAATTTCCAAGGAATTCTCTGTTTCGTCTTCGTGTTCGTTCGTTTTCTCCGAGAAAAGTCGTCTCGGGAAGAGAAAAAGTGGGGGGGGGGGGAAAGAGAGAAAAATGGAACCTCGAGCCGTATTGGGAGCCGTGCCAGCTACGATATGGATCGTAGTCCTCGATAATCGATGGCTCCTTCTCGATAATGTCCGTTCTGGTGCAGCTGCAGGTCATCGCCGAGCAGAGGAATATATTGATTATCAGCATGATGAGGAACAAAATGCCAAGAGCCACCGCCAGCCATAACAGCCACAACGGATGAACACTGCCGTCCTCGTACAGCGTCTGAACGGCTATCAAACAAACGCTAAACGTTAACGACTGCTAAAGAGACACCTCTCTCCTCGGCGAACACGGTGGGAAAGCACAGAGAGTAGATTTCGAGTCTCGAAAATAGAGAAAGAGTCCGCCGCGAGCGCGCGTGCTGGCTAATTAATTCAACCAAGAGGGTAAAGGTTCGAACCTCCCGAGGAGAGATAACGTTTAATCACGCGGTGTTATCCGGCAAGTGAAGCAGGAAGCGGTGGTACGGTATGAAAAGTACGGTGCGATATTTACATGGCGTTTGACCAGGGTCAAGAACGAACACGCTCGTGCCGGCTAAGAGCACTCCTTCCTCGCCGCTCACGCTTTGCCCATTAATTAAGGACGCTCCCTTTATATCTTCCTCGTTATCGCCTTCGCAAACGGGGATACCGCAGCTTCCTGGTGGAAGAAAAGAAGATAAACCGTTTTGCGTTTCACTTGTTATCTTGTCACGCGTTATTTACCGTTCGACACTGGGCTATCAACCTCCTCGCACCGAGCGTAGATATCTAAACGCGAAAAGCATTTTGAAATCTCCTCCGGCGAGCAGGAGGAAGCGGCAATCGAACGAACCCAGACGCGATTCACCACATTTTAATTACGGGGATAGATCGGTCTGTCGGTCTGTTCGTTCGAAACAACGGGTCCGAGGAAAGTTTCGAGGGTATGTACATGTATGTTAATTGAACGGGTCGAGTCGAGTTGAACGGCACGCTGTAACCTAGATCGAAGCCCAGGTCGTAATCAGAAATCACTGAACGAATCGGTTTACCTCTGCACACCGCGATGTCGCATTGAAAATGCACCTGTGGACTGTCGGGGAACCGGAACATGGAGAACAATGTAGCATCCGCCAGGCCGGTGTTCCGATCGTAGATGAATTTCGTCATGACCCGAGCCTTTACGGGACACCTTTGTCATGGAAAAAACGTAGGTTACGCAACGCGGTTATGATCGAACTCATACTGACCAATGCCACAGCACGAAATGCGTGGAAAATTCATACCCGAATTACGTAATCTCCGACGTGTGTACGATTGAATGATCGTACGTTGATTCGTTCGACAAAAGCGTTCGAGTCGACCTTGTTTTACGTAACAAGTTCGAAACGAGATTTACAAAGTAAAACGGAACGGTGCACGTGTAACTTTGATAAATGAATTCGTCGCGAGGAGCGTACGACATGAAGATAAACGGAGTGGATGTAAAACGTACCCTTTATCGTCGATCAGTTGTACGCTGGTGTTTCGTTTGTTGAACGCGAAACACGATTTTACTTTGATTCCGTACATTCCTGTAAACGAGAAAGATCGATGAGAACGCGTCAACGCGCGCCGCTCGTTCACGCGTTACGCGCGCTCGTTAATTCCAATTAAACGCAAGGGGTAAGACCGAGTGAGAGACGCCGTGTACGAACCATCTGGTCGCGAGATCTCCGCACGCAAACTGTAGTTGTGACCATAAATAGCCTCTTGCACTTTGTGGCCTCCGTCCAAAAGGCGCAATGATACCAGCGAGGTCTCGTTCCTGCGCAGAGAGAAAATTATCGCGTCGCGTATTAGGATATTAAAATCTCTCTCTCTCTCTCTCTCTCTTTGCGGGCAGATCTATCTACTCGCTCTAGCCTGATTCCGCAGCGATACACGATGATGATAATATTAATAAACTGTTATATGTACTTGGCGTTTTTGAATCCAGCTTTTCCGCACGTGATCACGTAGAATTTATCGTCCGCCAGCTCTAAGGTCTTGTGTATCCTCACCGCGATGGGAATCGAGCGTTCCTCGGTGTCCTGCAAGAATTACAAGGGATTACGGCTAGCGAATTCGTTGCGAGCGGAACTTTAATGAAAGTCGACGTTTCTTCAACGAACGAATCGAGTGTCGTCTCGATGTTATCGGTGCAAGGTTGAACAAGAGTTGAACAAGCGGTGTACCGCTTTGATATTTCTCTGATATTGTCGTTTCGCAAACGTGATTATATACAGAATTATACGTGTTTCGCCACGTCTTGCGCCCTGACGTGATATAAATTGCATCTCTAAACTTTGTCCGTGTAATTAGAGAAAGTGAACGTGTTTGAAGAGTAGATGATAGAAATGTAGGTGATCACTTACATTGTTTACCAAGACTCCACAGTAATCCGGGGATCCTTTGGGCGCGAGGAGATTAATGGCGAGGGTAGCGTGTGTGGAGCCGTTCCCGGGCGCCATGCACTGCGGCGTCCGGAAATCTCTGGCGTGGACAGCTCCCACGAAACTTTGATTCAGGTTCACTCGTATCGTCATGTGTCCGGCCTTGCAGGTCGCTGTGACTGTTGGTTGAAACTCCGTGTCCAATAATTGGCCGGTGACCTGCAAACCAACAACAAGCACATTGACTTTCCGGTAAATTACCGCGTTCTGGAAGTAGTTGTCCTGATCAAACGAGACTTTGGTTCAACAGATTCAAATGCTGTTGACGGCGTTGATTGTTTCGTGGACGTGAAGTGGTGTTTCAAAAGCTTGCAGGCTACACAAGTGAAGGAAAGTGGCGACGTTAAAGAAAGACGTTGTTTTCCTACAATTTATCTTGAAATTGAACATTACTCAGTTATCGAGTCACGAAATTTGGTGATGGGGAAAAAATGTAACGTATAGAAAAGACGAAGTTGATCGGTTTGAATCTCGAAAGACTCATTTAAAATACAAAGGCAAAAAATATACATTGAGAACGTGTGTTGAAACGTACATCGCGATAATCGATTTTCAATTCGAAGACTCGCTTCTTCTCTTTCGATTTCATAGGCACAGTTGTATCGAACGTTTCGTGATATCGAGTGTTATCGGTTGAGAAACGTCCAAAAGACGAGAAAAAGACAAGAACGGACCAAGTTGCAATTAATATTAATATATCGGGCTAATTAGTCTGCCAGCTTTAATTACACTCGGTTAATTGCCCCTTGTCCTTAAAAGATCGTTATCCAGACTTCGGCCGTCCTTCGTTCGTCTCGTGGTTATAAATTATTTAATTAATTACCAGCCGGGACAGGGGAAAGAATCCTCGTGATCGCGGCGGATCACGCACGAGATAACCTCTTGAAAACGATCGAAATTCATGAGTTTTCGATGCTGCTTATTACGGCCACGACGAAAGATCGGCGATACTCTCTCCGAGGGCCAATCGCTTGGACTTAACGTCCGAGTAAACTTGGACCGGTCTGGGCGGTAGCTATCGACCCACGCTAACTTTCAATTTCACGTGGTCTCGCCACGTTTGCGCCGTGGTATGTGGTGGACGTGTACATATAAATACACATCTACTACGTCGAAACGGAGCCAGACTCGGATGCACGCGGCACAATAAAATGAAATCGGGACGAACTAGAGACGATCGAAAGAGAGATGCTACCGATCGTCGAGGAGCATCGAGTCTGTCGTTGGAAGCGAGACAAAAGTCTGGAACGTAGGCGGTCGCAAGGCCAACGGTTCTAAATGCTTCAGTGGACTCGCTCCGCCGTGATGAAAGAGAGAAGGATCAAAAACGTGTTGGGTTACAGAAAAGGATTCCTCCTCCTCCTCGTGGACGGATAATCGATTATGAGGATACGACACGGCAACGTATACACACGCGTCCTTGCATCTCTCACGATTGCTCCTTTTTCGGTCTCCGTTCTGCATACCTTTTTGCTCTGCCCATCTCGTTGGCCATCTATTGTACTCTATTATTCGTAGAACACCAGACGAACCGAATCTCTTTTGCCTTCGTTTCGACATTGACCGACGAAACAGCCTTTCGAATATCTTTTTACTCCTAGCTTCTTTCGCTCGATGACGTTATCTCGTGTTGGTCAATGCGACCCGCGACCTGGATCGTTACGAGGATTATTTCGTAATACGTCGAAGCAAACCAGCCCATTCTCTTAGACATCATTTTCCTAGATGTCAAAACGCGACGTTTCTGCAGCTTGCTAAGCGAATTCAACCTAGTTGTCCATTTACCACAGTTACAGACCGCAACGACGAGTAACTCACTCCTTCGAGGGACTGATGACGGCTCCGAAAAGGAACGCGCTAATTATAACCTGATTGCGAGTACACGTTTCAGTCGCAAGGCTTTACGTAATCGATACGGTAGCTCCAATTAACGAATAGTTGAATGAGAGGCCGACACGACGAGAGAGAAACGAGACCAAGGAGGGTCGTCGAGGCTCCTCGAGGCTCCTCGAGGCACCTCGAACGCGCACCAACGAAGGACACGGCTCTGCCATTGAATTGCAACGAGAAACGCAACGGGGTCTTTTGCTAATTTTCACAATCGCCGCGGGAGTCACGGTATTCGTGTAATTACTATGATCGCTGGGCGGTTCGTAGTCGCATGCAACATTTGATCCTGGCACGAACAACGATCCTTTGTTTGTACGTACGATGTGTCTCGGTGTACGAGGTTCATGCAGAACTCGATGGTCGCGTGCTAGACGTTAATACAAGCGGACGTTGAACATTGTCGCGTTGAGCGTTGCTTTCTTCCCGCGGATGAGACGGGGGAAAAAAAAAA